TTGTCCCTTCGTGTGAACTGTTTGTGCGACCAGTCCCTGCGACTAAACGGTAAATAAGCCAATCACGGGTCAGTATGATGCGTGACTTCCGGTATTTGAAAACATTGCAGTTTCTATGAATTTTCCCTAAATTCTAGATTTCCACAACTGAAGAATAAAAAACTATTTCTAGTTTTGTAAACATATACAGATGTCTTGGAGCCGTTTTGATGGAGTTTTTACCCTATTTTGCTCTGTGTCTGTTAAAAATAAAAAACAAAAACAAAAACGGAACACGTAAAAGCATGAATAATCCGACTGGCTAAGTGCAGTTCATTTGCGTTGATGTTAAATAGTGCTACAATGAAAAGTTATAAAATTTCATTGTTTTCGGGTAACGCCCCAGACTAAGAAACATCTTTTGCCTCTTAATTTTCCTATGTTCTTGTGCAATTGAGTGCCCTCGTGTGAATGCCTTAAGGGACTAGTCCCTGCTACCGGTCCCCTCGTGTAAACCTTTCAAAGACTTGTCGCCGGGACTAGTCGCACGGACTAGTCGCAGGGACTAGTCCCCTCGTGTGTGCCGACCTTTATGCCATGGACACGACTCAAAAATTCTAATGAAACGTTATTGGATTATTTCTGAGCGGTGCAGTTGGTCTGCACATTTACATTCAACTTTGATGAGGAATGTTATTCAAAGTAGAACCAGGTTATTTTGAAATTTTTTTTTACCTTTCACCTAGTTTTTGTTAAAGTTGAAGAGAAATTTTTTCTTATCTGTTGTTTTATGTACAATGCCATTGAAAAGTAAATTATTTCTTAAGTCGTCCAGTGGAGTAGGAATTCTTTAACATCTTGCATTTTTTTTAAATTTTTGTCAATAAAGCAAAGACTACAAGTTGAAAACGTCAGGGAGACCAGAATACTTAATAACTTGGTGAGTATAGTTGAATGGAGATTTGTAACTTCTATATGTAGCCATCTAAAATGACATTAAAGAAATTAAGAATTTCGTTCATTTCTCTTCACCTCTTTCTACCCCCTTCACGAAAGATGCCGAAGCAAGATTTCAGCTGTGAAAACAAGTGTTTCATCATAACATGGAAACTACCGTCAACTTTGTCCTTGTCAAGTACGGTTGGGTATCCATGTAGTAATTTTTAAGTCTTTTGGCGGGAAATGTTTGTATGGCCTCTTTGAAGCTCTCTTTATCATAGCTTTTAGACGTCACGAGAAATGGCCATCTCAAGTAAGGGAGTGAGGAATAATAACCAAACGAAAAATCGGGGGTGGAAATTTGTTTCCGTTTGTTTTCCGAAAGTCTGATAAAGTATGAAGGCGGGTAACGTTTTTTAAAATGGCTCAAATTCTTGGTCTTAATTTTTATATCCTTGTTTCGCAGGTTTCTTCGACCACCCAAAACTGGATACCAAGCCAGAAACCCAATCAGCACAAGACCAGAAACAAATATCAATCTTCGAAAGAAGCTAAACAGGATTGAACCCCAATGGAGAGAATAAAATGAAAAATTGGGGGTTGATCCGTCCCCCGCCTCCTTCCCACCCTGTCAATTTTAGTCAGTAGGCTGTGGTAGACATCTTTTAAAACAGTCTACTGATATTACAGTACGGTATTACGATACAATCTTTTAATATACATGTCCATAACAATAGTATCATTACAATCTTATAATAATTATAGTAATATTACAATCTTCCTCTTACAATCTTATAATACAGTAATANCATACCCCTTTTCTTCAAGGTAAAGACGAAGTCGAGAGGTGAGATGGCTTTGGTGATAGTTTGCTTGCAAGTTCTCAAATGGATATCGGGAGCAAACTTGGAGTAAGTTCTTACCCTTGTTTTGTGGTTTCTGTTCATCCCTAAAATTTTCGAGAAGCTGTCTGCTTCATCATGCCATGGACAAGACTCAAAAATTCTAATGAAATGTTATTGGATTATTTCTGAGCAGTGCAGTTGGTCTGCACATTTACATTCAACTTTGATGAGGAATGTTATTCAAAGTAGAACCAGGTTATTTTGAAATTTTTTTTTACCTTTCACCTAGTTTTTGTTAAAGTTGAAGAGAAATTTTTTCTTATCTGTTGTTTTATGTACAATGCCATTGAAAATTAAATTATTTTTTAAGTCGTCCAGTGGAGTAGGAATTCTTTAACATCTTGCATTTTTTTTAAATTTTTGTCAATAAAGCAAAGACTACAAGTTGAAAATGTCAAGGAGACCAGAATACTAATAACTTGGTGAGTATAGTTGAATGGAGATTTGTAACTTCTATATGTAGCCATCTAAAAATGACATTAAAGAAATTAAGAATTTCGTTTATTTCTCTTCACCTCTTTCTACCCCCTTCACGAAAGATGCTGAAGAAAGATTTCAGCTGAGAAAACAAGTGTTACATCATAACATGGAAACTACCGTCAACTTTGTCCTTGTCAAGTACGGTTGGGTAGGTATCCATGTAGTAATTTTTAAGTCTTCTGGCGGGAAATGTTTGTATGGCCTCTTTGAAGCTCTCTTTATCATAGCTTTTAGACGTCACGAGAAATGGCCATCTCAAGTAAGGGAGTGAGGAATAATAACCAAACGAAAAATCGGGGGTTGAAATTTGTTTCCGTTTGTTTTCCGAAAGTCTGATAAAGTATGAAGGCGGGTAACGTTTTTTAAAATGGCTCAAATTCTTGGTCTTAATTTTTATATCCTTGTTTCGCAGGTTTCTTCGACCACCCAAAACTGGATACCAAGCCAGAAACCCAATCAGCACAAGACCAGAAACAAATATCAATCTTCGAAAGAAGCTAAACAGGATTGAACCCCAATGGAGAGAATAAAATGAAAAATTGGGGGTTGATCCGTCCCCCGCCTCCTTCCCACCCTGTCAATTTTAGTCAGTAGGCTGTGGTAGACATCTTTTAAAACAGTCTACTGATATTACAGTACGGTATTACGATACAATCTTTTAATATACATGTCCATAACAATAGTATCATTACAATCTTATAATAATTATAGTAATATTACAATCTTCCTCTTACAATCTTATAATACAGTAATACTACAATAATTTTTAGACAGTTTTATTTTTCATTTAAGAATAAATATTAGCGAGAAAAACACACAACGTTTCGATGACCCCATGTCATCATTCTCAAGTGAGAAGAGAATAAAAATGAATAGCTAATTTATACCGTACGAAGGTGAGAAACGTTTTATTATTATTATTTAAGAGTTATATTATTATCATTATTTTAGACAGAATATTACAATAATTTTAGACAGTTATATTATTATTTAAGATAGTTCTAATATTACAATAATTTTTAAGACAGTTATATTTTCACCTAACCAACCTCCCCCACGTCGCCCACCCTTCAGATAGATTTGTTAAGTATTTCAATAAGTTGTCTACTTCGTGATAAACACTTTTCAAAAACGCATGCGTTTTCTGTAAGCAAATGTCTTTCTTAATACACAATTCATGCGTATTACATGAAATATTCAGTTATTTTCAGATTTGTTATCTCCATATAGTAGTCCGTCCCTAACGGCTGACAGTTACATTTTAAGCCCTCTAACAGCTGACGGTCAAACCCTATTAAGACCCTCTTATTAGGCTGGGGAATCTTCTTAAAAGGCATCCGGTTGCTTTTCCAAATATGCAAGGATGATGGTCATAAGATGTTGAAGGAGTTCATGTCAAACTAAAGCCTGAATGTCTTGCCTCTCAAGGCTAAATATTTCGCAAACTATTTTTTCTTGGACCTTCCATTTTCTTTTGTCTTCCTCTTACAATCTGAAGGAAACTGAACAACACAAATAACATTAATATTTCCCCGTAACTGACAATAAATCATTAAAACATCTGTACTGCCTAACTTGTCCAAGTGTACTGTTTAAGATTAATTAACAACAATAAATATTTCAAAAGTTGAGTATTGTACTTCAGAAAGAGGGCACAAATTTCTCAAGGAGGTAAACGTGAGCGAGAACAATTGAGAATTTCATATTTATGATAACAATACTGTAATACAGAGCAAATATCAACTTATATGAACTACACCAAAATAAATGCCTTAAAAAATGTCACTGGTTCTGTTTTGATTCAAATGAAGAGAAAACGAATGGATGGGATACAGTAATTTCATGACGTCTTTTTTTTTTACCAGCCTACAGCTTCAAGTATTGTTGTTTGGAAAGGTTCACTATCAAATTTTATCACAAGAATCAAGGTAGTTTTCTGCAAGTTAAAAGATGCCGAAGAAAGATTTCAGCTGTGAAAACAAGTGCTACATCAACATGGAAACTACCGTCAACTTTGTCCTTGTCAAGTACGGTTGGGTGGGTATCCATGTAGTAATTTTTAATTCTTCTGGCGGGAAATGTTTGTATGGCCTCTTTGAAGCTCTCTTTATCATAGCTTTTAGACGTCACGAGAAATGGCCATCTCAAGTAAGGGAGTGAGGAATAACAACTAAACGAAAAATCGGGGGTGGAAATTTGTTTCCGTTTGTTTTCCAAAAGTCTGATAAAGTATGAAGGCGGGTAACGTTTTTTAAAATGGCTCAAATTCTTGGTCTTAATTTTTATATCCTTGTTTCACAGGTTTCTTCGACCACCCAAAACTGGATACCAAGCCAGGAACCCGATCAGCATGAGACCAGACACAAATATCAATCTTCAAAAGAAGCTAAACAGGATTGACCCCCAATGGAGAGAATAAAATGAAAAATTGGGGGTTGATCTGTCCCCGCCTCCTTCCCACCCTGTTAATTTTAGTCAGTAGGCTGTGGTAGACATCTTTTAAAACAGTCTACTGATATTACAGTACAGTATTAAGATACAATATTTTAATATACATGTCCCTAACAATAGTATCATTACAATCTTATAATAATTATAGTAATATTACAATCTTCCACTTACAATCTTATAATACAGTAATATTACAATAATTTTAGACAACTATATTATTATTATTTAAGACAGTTATAATATTACCATATTATAACTGTTTTATTATTACTTTAGTTATAATTATATTACAATAATTTTTAGACAGTTACAACAATTATTACAATAATTTTAGACAGTTATATTATTATTATTTAAGACAGTTATTATAATACAATAATTTTTAGACAGTTATATTTTCACCTAACCAACCTCCCCCACATCGCCCACCCTTCAGATAGATTTGTTAAGTATTTCAATAAGTAATGTCTACTTTGTGGTAGACATTTTTCAAAAAATAATGCATGCGTTTTCTGTAAGTAAATGTCTTTCTTAATACACATGCGTATTACATGAAACATTCAGCGTTGTTATCTGCATATAGTAGTCCATTCCTAACAGCTGACGGTCAAACCATTATTAAGACCCTCTTATTAGGCTGAGGAATCTTCTTAAAAGGCATCCTGTTGCTTTTCCAAATATGCAAGGATGATGGTCATAAGATGTTAAAGAAGGAGTTCATGTCAAACTGAAGCCTGAATGTCTCGCCTCTCAAGGCTAAATATTTCTCAAACTATTTTTTCT